GAAAGAAGGAAAACAGACGATTGTTTTTTAATTGTTTTCATAATGGGCAGATTCCTCTCTGAAACTATTTGCTGAGTTCTAGGAACATTTATGCGTTTGTTTATTTTTATCGAAACGAGATCTTTTTTTTTCGTTCGGGTGCCTGATTCTGTCTATACAAGAACAATAAGGAAGGCAGCGAGAGGACTTACTGTGTCATCTGAAGAGACCCTTGCAAGAAGAAGAGCTTGCATTTTGTAGTTCCTTGCATGGGCTTCTCTGATGTTTTGCACCACAATAGCCCAGGACAGAGCAACGCAGGATTATTCCCAGAAGCAGAAGTTGTACTTTAGCAGTGAAAGGTCTTTTGTATTTGCAAGGGAGGAGGAGATGCAAAAAGAGCCAAGGCTGGTCTGCTTGCAGGGGGAGCCCGAGCATGTGCTGAGCGTCATCCTGCTCGGCACAGGGATGGTCCTCAGTGGGAGCAGCTTGGAGATGCTCCATGGTCCAAAGAGACTGAGCTGAGGCTTGCCATGGCACAGGAATAGTTGGACTGTGCCAACCCATGAAGGGCAGAATTTCTGGGCGGAAAGCACACAGTAGTCTTGATTTTAATTCTTCCCCCCTTCTTTTGCCCCTCTCTTGTCTCTCCCCAAATTCCCATTCTCCCAAACACAGGCCTTTCACAGAGAAAATATATCGGCAGAAACAGAAGGGAGCAAAGAACAAGTAGCGACAGGTACGTTTGCCCGTCGGTGTGTCAGCGAGAAGGGCTGCTTTGCTTTGCTCCCCCACCTACGAGCGCGTTAGATGGGGTCGGGAGCACCACCCGCCCTGCCAGCACATCCCTGCCCAGCCCTGCCTTCCCCAGCTCCTCCACAGCCCTTCCCGCACTTCTCCAGGGATTTGAGCTTCAAACCTCCGCAAAAACCCAGGTGGGAAGGCTTTATGCAGAGGCAGTCGTGTCCGCCTCCTGGCACCCAACCACCAACCCCCAAATTGTTTTGATTATATACTTGAGAGTCAGCGCGAGGGGAAAATTGCTGGGGAGCTTCAAGGCTCCAGGCTTAGTCTAAATCAGGCAGAAAAAAGCAGCTTTTGGCCATGGCCAGTGCTCCAGCGAGCGGCAGGGATGGTGTGAGAGGGCATGTGTGCCTGACCACCCCGCAGCGAAAACGGGCATCCCTGCTCCAGGGTGCTCCATGCCCGAACCGGGAGCATTCTGCACATGGGCTTGCACCGGCTCACTCCAGGAGCTCAGCCTATGCTTGCTTTCTGGGGTCAAAGGTTTCTACTAAACCTTGAGTTCCTGCCCAGGCTCCTTTCCCTGGAGTTAAATGCCCCCCATCTGCCCACTGGTGGTGGGACAGGCTGGACAAGCACTCGGCACCGCTGGGTTTTTGGCAGCCCCCACAAAGCTGCCGGAGCAGCGGCGAGGTCCCTAACAGACTCTTGTCTCTTTGCCCTTTGCAGAGCAGCGTCTTGGACACCTCGGCGCAGCGTGCCTCTGCCGTCCCCACGCTGTCCCGATTCGCCTGTTTTCCTACTGAGATGTATCCTACTAATTAGCCCAGCAACCCTTAATGAGCCAACTGAGCGCCCTGCAGTATTGGAAGCGATCGGAGGAACAGCCCGAGCGTGGCGGCACCTCCTCGCTGCAGCCCGTGGGAGCTGGAGGTCTCTGTCCCCAGGTCTCTGTCCCCAATGCCAGGTCACTGCAGCTCCTGCCACGAAGGCGATGATCTCCCGGGAGCCACATGGCACGGGACCTCCCGACCTCTTCTCCCGCGCTGATTATTAGAGATCAGCAGGGAAAAAAGCTATTTGGCACCAGCCCCGGACTGGAGGGCAAGCAGAGTGATGATGGAGACACTGGGGGCTTTTCGTAAGTGAGCTCTGAGCAGGGGGAAGCACCAGCTTCGGCTGATCCTGAAGATCATCTGAAGATGCTGCCAAAGAGCCTTGGGAAGCAAACAAAAGCTTGGCCGAAGCAACAGAGAGGTCTCAGGAGCCCCTGAAGCGCTCGCACACGGCTGGGGAAGGAAGAGGGGAAACTGCTGCAAACTCAACAACAACAAAACCTGGTGCAAACCCAGCAGCAAACCCCCTCTTTCCTGGGAGAGGGAACCCTCCCTGTCCAGAGCTGCAGTTTCCCACCAGCGCAGAGCCCTGTTGCATCTCCGCGCTCTTTGCAAAGGCTCCGAGAAAGGTGACTGATGAGCACGTTGGTGTGAACGTACCACCTAAACCGCTGCCCAAGGTGGTGAAGGGATGGCAGCTGTCCTGTGGGCAAACCCCAGCATGGAGAAGACCAAGGGGAAGAGTCAATCCTCATCCATGCCCTGCAGATATCCCATCCCTGGCTGTGTGGGTGTCCCGGTCCCCTCAACACCCACCCAGCCCCTCCTTTTCCCTGGGTCCTGCCTTCCCCACCACCCAGTGCCTTCCAGCTATTTTCACTGCCTTGCAGGGGAGATGGGTGGGAGGGAGGGGAAGGGCCACAGCCAGGTACGGATCTGCCCCTTCGCCTCTGCCACCAGCCTTGGCGAGTCCCAAAGAGCCCGATGCTGGATCCTACCCTCAACGGGAAGATCCCAGGGATGATGCTCCAGGCTCAGGCTCAGTGTTTACAGATTCCCAGAAGGGTTTGAGAAATAAGCTGTAAATGACCAAAAAAAAAAAGAAAAGCAATGTCAAGCCCCCGGCAGCGGCGCTGGAGGAGGGAGCTGCGCTGCTGCCAGCTCCCGTGCCGGCACGGGGATGTGGTGCCACGTCTCGGTATCGCGTCGTCCCCTCCGCAGAGGGTCCTTCCTTCCTTTTCTCAGTGTCACCTGTGTGAAACGGTACAATTTCCTTTTGCTTTTGCATGTTGTAATTCACCCTTCGGGCGTTGCTCAGCCGGAATTAAAAGCGTTGGATTCTTTTCAGTCCAGCCTCTTGTTTCTTTCGGCCGGGCTCACAGACACCGAGTTTGTGTTTCACCACTTCAGAACCATTACACCAGGATTCTTTTTATTGCCATCTCAACAACCTTCTCTTAAAGACTTGGGCATAGTCTTTTATTTTTAGATAAGTTTCTACGTCCCCTTCAGTTGAGGTTTATAGACAGAGGCTAAAACAGCCCAGTACCCATAGCAACCAGCAAGGAGAGGATACGTTGCATTATCCAGACAATTTATGTCAGAGTTGCCAGTCCTGGCTCAAAGTCTCTGATGTAAATAAATTCGGATTTGTTGATACGTGAAATCAGTATTTACCAAAGAGACGCGTGCGTGTTCAGGAAGGATTACTCTTAACGAGAACGCAGCGAGGGCTGTATTTGTGCTGTCTCGTGGCCGGTCTGAGGACCACGTACACCTTTCCCTGTCCCTGCCATGAGACCAGGGGGACCCCAGTTGTACCGTTCCCATCCCCAGCTGGCATCAGCCCCCCTAAAATGGATCTCTGTCACCATAAGCCCCAGTGACGGAGCTGCTTCCCCCTCCGTGCCCACAGCATCCCGAAAGCACAGGGGTTCAGTGCTGCACCAGGACTGGCTTCACAGACTCCTTCACCCTTGTTCTGCCATTTCCATCCCAACCCTTCCCACTTCCCAGCCACTCCATGTTGGTTTTGCATTGCACAAGGGCTTTTCTGGGGCTGTGCCAGATATATCCCCGTTTTTAGTAGCTCTTCCCACAGCAGCCAGCACGGATTAACAGAACAGGTTCTGGCTGCCGTAAAGCTGGAGTCTGATGTTTCAAAGGCGTCTGTTCTGTTCCCTCAAGCAAACCCGAGGAGCTGGAAGGTGATGTTCAAGCCCATCTCACTGGGATCCAAGCCTACGTTTGTCCCTGGCTGGAGCCATTCCCAGCAGTGCCATGCTGCTCACTGGGACTATGGGGAGGAAAACACAGAAAGACCATTATTTATATTGGTTTATAGTGTTTAAGAATGAAGGATTAGGAGAGTCTCCCTGGTTATAGGGAAAAAGCTTGATTCCTCTCCAATTACCTAATATTTCTAAGAATTTGAGATTACCGAAGGTGGGGATGAAACCTTCAGGCTGAGCATGAAGCATTGGTGGTATCAGAGCTTTTTCCCCACTTCCCATCCCCAGGGCCAGTCCCTGGCTGTGGCTGGGCCGTATCCTGCACTGATGCAGGGATGGACCCCACGGCCTCCAGTCTGGCCATGAAACTCCTGCTGCTTCCAAAGGAGAGACCTGCACCGTCGGAACCCCAGGACCAGCTGGTTGCAGCCCCGGTGCTGTGCCAGAATGGGCAGGTGCATCCCTCCAACTCTTGAGGGGGTATCAAGCACCAAGCCAGGTCCCTGGAAATGTGGTTATGGGTCTGTTTTCATAACTTCATGGCTTCCAAATGCAGTGTGGGGCTTGCTGAGCCCATGTGAGCTTGGCGGGGGCGTTTATTTGCAGCCTTGGGAGATGCCGCACGTGAGGCTGTGCGCGGATGCCGCTGATAACGCCTGCCTTGATGTTTGGGATATTTTTCCAGAGCAAACACCAGGACAGGAGGAATTAGTTAAATCTCAACTCCTGCCTGGCAGGGACAGCCAGGTCACCCAGTCCATCGCGCCGCGCTGCCTCGGGTCACCCCGTCCCACCGCGCAGCCCCCAGCAGCTGCTCTGCCCACCACTCAGGTTTTCTCCGTGCAGCTGCTTGTGTGGCCCCTCCGCACGTGTCTCCCCTCCCTGAGATGGTGTGGGATGGTTTTTTTGGGGGTGGGGAGGATCACCCGTACCAACCCAAACAGCCCCAGCCATGGATATGCGATGCGGACCCAGCTCCACGCTCATGGGATGCTTCATCCAGGGACAGTTTAGGAGATGGAGGCCACATCCTGAGGTCCTTTCCCTGAAGGCAACCTGATGGTGGGGACATCCAGAACCAGGGGCACAGCCCCGAGGGCTCTGCCCTCCGTTGTGACCACCTGTAACCCTCTGCCCATGTTTGCCTTCACCCAGCGAAGCTGCACTGCCTTCACCCGGGGCAGGGACGGCCACTGACCCTTACATGGCAAACAAACACCATTAGCCAGGAGTGGAGAATAAACACACGGAGCAGTCAAGGCAGCATGTATCGCATCATCAGAGCGATGGGAGAAGTCACAATTCCCGTTGGGCTTCTGCCAGGCCTGGCTTGCTGAGTCTGCACTTTTGCTATTTGAGAATATGGAGGGAGCACCTCTGCTATGGAGACAGGCCGAGGGAGTTGGGGCTGCTCAGCCTGGAGAAGAGAAGGCTCCAGGAAGACCTTCCAGCAGCCTTCCAGTACCTAAAGGGCCAGGAAAGCTGGAGAGGGACTTTGGACAAGGGCGTGTAGTGATAGGACAAGGAGTAACAGCTTTAAACTGAAAGAGGGGAGATTTAGATTAGATCTAAGGAAGAAATTTTTTACAATGAGGGTGGTGAGGCACTGCAACAGGTTGCCCAGAGAAGTTGTGGCTGCCCCATCCCTGGAAGTGTTCAAGGCCAGGTTGGATGAGGCTTTGGGCAACCTGGTGTAGTGGAGGGTGTCCCTGCCCATGGCAGGGCAGTTGGAACTAGATGATCTTTGAGGTCCCTTCCAACCCAAACCAGTCTGTGATTCTATGAAACGGGGGGCTCAAGGCTCTGGCAATGGCTCCAACGGGACCCGGAGGCTGAATGGCCGTTGGGTGGACAGAGGACGTGGGCTTGTCTGCAGATGATTGGGATTTGATGCCAAAGCAAAGACGAGCTTTGAGCGCAGGTGGTATGGGGGCTTTTAGGGACAGTTTGGGCACTGAATGCTTTGTTGGAGACCACTTAATCCAGAGAAGGCAGACGGAGGACACGACAGGACTTTACATGGGACT